CACAATTATAGCTGTACCAGGTCCATACAGTATTAATTCAGCTAATTACATAACAGTGTATACTTCAACTACTAAAACATATGAATATGATTACAACAATAAGTATTCATGTCTTCATGACACTAACATGTCCAGCTACGTTACGTCATTGTTACAAATACTGTTTTGCCACCCAGCCTGCAGCACGAACAAAGTCAAGAGGTGACTTCTGTCTTCTCCGGAGCTGATCCTGCAAACAGCAGAGGCGAGCATCTAGCTCTCTGTACTCCGTCTCCTGGGTGGTGCAGGAGCTCCATGGTCCAGCTGGGCAGGAGTTCAGTCCAGCTGCCCGCCTCCTGGGTTGTGCAGGAGTTCCATGGTCCAGCTGGGCAGTCCAGCTGGGCAGTCCTGGGTGGTGCAGGAGCTCCATGGTCCAGCTGGACAGCCCGTCTCCTGGGTCCATGTGCAGGAGCTCCATGGTCCAGCTGGGCAGCCCGGGCAGCCCATCTCCTGGGTGGTGCAGGAGCTCCATGGTCCAGCTGGGCAGTCCGTCTCCTGGGTTGTGCAGGAGCTCCATGGTCCAGCTGGGCAGTCCGTCTCCTGGGTGGTGCAGGAGCTCCATGGTCCAGCTGGGCAGCCCGTCTCCTGGGTGGTGCAGGAGCTCCATGGTCCAGCTGGGCAGCCCATCTCCTGGGTTGTGCAGGAGCTCCATGGTCCAGGTGGGCAGTCCGTCTCCCCCTGGGTTGTGCCAGGAGCTCCATTGTGCAGGAGTGGTCCAGCTGGGCAGTCCGGGTTGTGCTTTTCCATGGTCTGGGCAGTCCGCCTCCTGTGTGCAGGAGCTCCATGGCCCAGCTGGGCAGTCCGTCTCCTGGGTTGTGCAGGAGTTCCATGGTCCAGCTGGGCAGTCCGTCTTTCCTGGGTTGTGCAGGAGCTCCATGGCCCAGCTGGGCAGTCCGTCTCCTGGGTTGTGCAGGAGTTCCATGGTCCAGCTGGGCAGCCCGTCTCCTGGGTGGTGCAGGAGCTCCATGGTCCAGCTGGGCAGCCCGTCTCCTGGGTTGTGCAGGAGCTCCATGGTCCAGCTGGGCAGCCCGTCTCCTGGGTTGTGCAGGAGCTCCATGGTCCAGCTGGGCAGCCCAGCTGGGCAGCTCCATGGTCCAGCTGGGCAGCCCGCCTCCTTTCCCCATCCCTCGATGAACTCACAGCAGGGATGGGGAACGTCCCTTTGGGTCGGAGCCATCAACCCACACACTCACAACGTTGTCCTTGAATGCCTCACAGCCTCGGATGTCTGGTGCTTGGTTCAAGGCCTCCAACCAGGTGTCTTGCACTACCTGGATAGTCAGTGGTTGAAGAGGTCTGCCAGGGTTTGTTGAACAGCATCCTTCAGCACATGAACAAGACAAGACTACATCTTTGAACAACACACTTTCAGTAGTCAACCACATTACCAGACTTGTTCACCTCATACCGAAATCCTGCAGTATTTGTGGGGCTCCAGTATTTGTCCGGCTCCTCTGAGATACAACAAACTCTGCTTGCTGAACCCCAGCCATAGCTAACAAATAATCTCTGTGACTGGGTCTTATATACTTGGTGATAAATGTGACATTTAAAACATTTTCATGTTGTATCCCTATAACTGAAAAGCTTGGGTTCTATTTATGTGGAGGTATTATGTCCAATTTTCATAATAAACAACCTGTACTATAAGTATACTAAGTTTTAATCCGAGTAGAGGAGTTATCCCCAAATATCAGAACAAACAATGAATGATCACAAGATCCCTGATTCACTAAGCTTCTAATGCTTCAAATGATCTTCCTAAAAGGTTTATTTCAAAGAGTAGACAAACTGGGAGTAATCAGCTATACAGGTATAGCACATTATTAAGTGTAGGGGTGCTTCATTATATGTTTACGTTCATGAGTAGTCAAAATGGGAGTAGTCAAAATGGGAGTAGTCATAATGGGAAGATACCGCCATGAGAGGCGATTATCGGGATCAGGTGATCAGGCTTGCTGACTTGATTGACACATGTCATTGTATCCCAATTGCGTAGATCGAAGCTCATGTTGTTGATCACTGGATTGTCTGGTCTAGACTCGATTATTTTACAGACTGACAGATATAATTTGAATATTGCTGAGTGCGGTGTTAAACAACCAACCAACCATTTCAATTGGCAAATAATATGTTATGTTTTTGTGAGCCCTTGGCGTCGTGAAATTGGCCAAAGTATTAAAATTATATATTTTCAGAGACTAAGCGTTAGTGAACCTTGTCTTGATCCATGTTTGGATGCATTGCCATGGGATGGTTCCTATCTGTGCTCTGTCAGTCTTTCAGCCAGCTGCAGTCCCAGTGACGGCTACAGTTACTACAGCAACACCGGCAACAGCGGCAGCTGGTCACATGTGTGCTTCACACTGATAGTGGTCGCTGGCTGTTGTTTGTCTCTGAAAGCATCACATTGATTGATGTTTACACAGTGCATGAATAGCTGGTGATTGGCAACAGGATTAGTACAGAATCATGCTGGCTTATCATGCTTATAATGTATTCTGTTTGAAGTGTGTCAGGTGGATTTAGACTATTGAAATCATCTTTGTTTGATAGTACAATATGCAAAGTTTATTGCATTTAATGTTTCTAAATCTGATGAGGCAGTTGTGTAGCCTTGTGGTTAAAGCGTTCATTCCTCACACTGAAGACCCGGGTTCGATTCCCCATATGGGTACAGTGTGTAAAGCTCATTTCTGGTGTCCCCCGCTGGAATATTGCTAAAAAGTAGACCCAGTCACTCGAAAACTGACCCCTTGGAAAAGAATACTCAGCAGGAGGGCACTTGTATACTGATTTCTCAGTTAATCCCACTAACCTGAAAACAGACAACCAGGAGCAAAGTTCTTCCAAATCTCAAAGACAGTAATTATTAATATTTGGTATTGTTTCATTCTCAAAACTGGATCCTTCGATTTTCAGTTGACCAAAATAGCTAAGATGGTGAGGATTGCAAAAGGCAGTAATGATACAATAGCATCTTAACAACCAATGTGTTGAGGTGAGGTGAGGTGAGGTGAAGTTGGGTTTAACGTCGTGCTTGAGAATATTTCGCTCATATGACGACGTGCATGCGTGTGTATGTGTATGTGCGGCTGCTTGTACTAGCCCAGACTGAAGCTGGTTTTATAGTGCTAGCCCACTGAGATACCTTGCCGCAGTGAAGCATGAATACCCCACTCAGACACATTATACTGACTCCGAGCCAACCAGTCCTTGTTGTACCCACTAATGCCGAGCGCCAGGCAGGGACCAACAAGTACCATATTTTAACGTCTTTTGGTATGACGCGGTCGGGGATCGAACCCGCGACCTTCCGCTCTCTGGGCGGACGCTCTAACCACTACACCACGGAGGCGGTCCAAATGTGTTGATGTAAGTTCTGACATTCCTAATACCATACTCCCTGTGATTGAGTGGACATAGAAATAGATTCATTCCAATGAAGGGTCATCCTGATGTCTCAATTTGTTCTGCAGAGTTACTCCCCTTAGGTGTGTCAGGAAACTGAGGTTGATGGTTCGAATCCCAGATTCACCTTGTTAACATTAGTTTGTCAACAATGGTGAACGTCTTGTGCCTGCGTTATTTGTGTTACAATGCTCTTGCTCACAGCTGTGATATGAATATTTTATAGGATATTTATATAGCTCACATATCCACGCAACTAGTACATACTCAAGCCGCTGATATTTTTCTTCTCAATCATTGGATGTCAATCTCAATGGCACATTGTATTATCAATCTCAACTCCACGGGGAGCATATAAGTGAAATATTGTTTAATGTGGCCTAGGTCAGCTCACTCATTCATTGTGACAGGCATGTTTGTGTGGAGCTTCCAGGGCATGTTTCTTACTCTTGTTTCTTTTAAATTGTGGATTGGATGGATACCATGGTTTCTGAGCATTTACAGCACAGGGCCTAGATTTTCGAAGCTTTCTTAGCTAAGATATCGTAAGTTAATGTTAATGTATGGCACTTACAGCCCTTAGCCTAAGATAGCTTCAAAATCTAGGCCCTGATGGCCATGGAACAACTGTTTGATGCATATTTTGTTCTTATTCAACACTTGTGTGTATAGCTCTGGTTTGTGTGAAGGTGAAAGTTGTTATTTGCATGTTTATTGCTGTCATCTTGTAAAATTAACCGTTTCAGTCAGTAAGTTCTTGTCTTTGTCTTTGTGGTCAAGACTACCTCAGGACCAATATAGAAGTCTTGATAAAGTGATTATTGTTTGCCTCGGGGTGTTTGTATTCCTTAAAATGTCATCTTGTTGTATTGCATTCCAATACATCCATGGAATACTGAAGCGTGTCCCGTAGTGTGACAGAAACATTAGTCCTGGGTTCGAATCCAGGTTCACTCCGATTGTTTCTCGGTTTGTGGGCACCATCAGGTGTAACCATGGTGATAAGTGTTTGAGACCTACAATACAATTGGCTTTCCTCCCACTTCAAGCTGCCGCCTTGACATAAACAACACACTGCCTCTGTGGTGAAACTGATGGAGAGAGGATGGTGGTTCAGTCATACCAGAAGAATCAGAAGGTTCTTGATGTACGCTGTCCAGCACTCCAGCAATAAGGTCTTGGAGCCTGTATACTGTGTCTGTAACCTGTCCAGCACTCAGCAATAAGGTCTTGGAGCCTGTATACTGTGTCCTGTAACTCAGCAATAAGTCCTGTATACTGTGTCTGTAGCACCCAGCAATAAGGTCTTGGAGCCTGTATACTGTGTCTGAAGGGGGGCATTCATGTTAAACTGTGGCACCGTGTCTCAATGTGCTGGCACTATAAATCTACATAAGTGTGGACTTGTACCAACAACAGTTCACAATGCATGCATGTCAATATAGAAGTGCTATAGTCTTGAACTTGATTTTAAAATCTGTTTCACCTCATCATGATATAACTGAATTACTGATCTAAGCATTAAACTCACTCACTGACTGTTTGTGTAGGCTGACGAGTCAACAGAAGAGTACACCATCACAGAGAAGATAACTCGGGAGTGCAGCAAGATGTTGGCTGAGGTAAGATCTTCCTTCTATAGACCACTCTACAGATTATACACTCACGTTTCAAACAAGGAACTTGTCTATCTCTCATAGTACTGAACAATTAATTCCTTTCAAAATCATCTTTTATATTCATTTAGTTTTTGCCATGGAATATTTGTTTGGGCCTTTTTCTATAGGAATATGATGATGTAAATAAGTGAAGAGATCTTTACATTGAATGTCATTTCTCATGACAACTGTAAGTACAGTATTGAAAGATTTCATGATCTTAAGATCTTAAGGGTTTTAAACTTTCAAGTCATTGCATTGACTATTTGTGTATTATAGTAATTTTTCTGTGAGTCAGAGATGTGTTTTCACAAGTCAGTCATTTGTATGATAGAATTTATTTCATTTTAAACCCTCAAGTTACTGTCATGTATGAAGTTAATTTGCTGTTAATTTCACAATGCTGGATGCATTGCTATGGGCATTATGTGCATCTTGCATGTGCCAAGCCTTGATCTGTATTTGATTTGTTACTTAACCGTTCATCTCTGACCATCTCTAACTGCATGCTAATTGATTTCAGTGTCTGTATCACAGGTGGCCTGATCTTTGTTAGTGATGATTTTCATCTCAGCATTTCATATAAATTTAAACTTATATTTTCGTAGTAATGGTGATTAATTGTTAAGAAAGTCCTACATTTGTGTTTTAGAAACTAGTTTTTCTGTGTATTTTTCGGAAGACCCAACATCTGTAGTATGTGACACTATACTGTGAGACCCTGTTGGTGTAAGGCATCAGTAAGATTAGTAAAGGATGCTTTATCTATATTCAGAGGGACATAATCTAGTGTTTCATATCTGTGAGTTAATCGGGGCACTATTTCACAAAATTATCTTAGCTCTAAGATGGCCAGAATTCATGCATAGGCTTACAATGACTTATGATACATATCAGGCCAATATCATAATATCAGTCATCATTATAATCATAATCATCATAATTCCATATTTGCCTATGATACACATTGTGCTAAGATTGTCGTAATTTAGGCATAATGTGAAAATAATGGTATCTCCCACAATACTTACTACACTAAGATGGTCATCGCTTGCCAGCTCGGGTAGGCTTATAATAGTTGCTACACCAACATCACTCGTAGGGCCCAGGATGTTATCAGTTTTATTGGTAATGCTTCCATAATGGTGATTCGCTGTATTTCTGTTTCGACTTTCTTGCAAGAATTCTTTCGAAGGCTGAAATCTGTTGCAGACTTTCATTACATTATTAATTATGTTCATTTAATAAGTTTGATATTGTTTCCTGTTAGAGTAAAACTGCATTTTGTTCTATTTCTAATATCCTTGATACAGCTCTACAGTTGGCATGCTGAATGACGATAGACAGAGCTTGCCGTCTGTATCTGAGCATCAGCTGTGTTGACTGACTTTAATACTTCCCCTGAGCATCAACTGAGTTGACTCACATTAATGCTTTCTCTGAGCATCAACTGAGTTTACTGACTTTAATGCTTTCTCTGAGCATTAACTGTTACTTCCCCGAGCTGACTTTGCTTTCTCTGAGCATTAACTGAGTTGACTGACTTTAATACTTCCCCTGAGCATCAACTGAGTTGACTCACATTAATGCTTTCTCTGAGCATCAACTGAGTTGACTGACTTTAATACTTCCCCTGAGCATCAACTGAGTTGACTCACATTAATACTTCCCTGAGCATCAACTGAGTTGACTCACATTAATGCTTTCTCTGAGCATCAACTGAGTTGACTGACTTTAATACTTCCCCTGAGCATCAACTGAGTTGACTCACATTAATGCTTTCTCTGAGCATTAACTGAGTTGACTGACTTTAATACTTCCCCTGAGCATCAACTGAGTTGACTCACATTAATGCTTTCTCTGAGCATTAACTGAGTTGACTGATTTTAATACTTCCCTGAAGCATCAATAGGTTGACCTTGTGCTTTCTCTGAGCATCAACTGAGTTGACTGTTTAATACTTCCCTGAGCATCAACTGAGTTGACTGACTTTAATACTTCCTCGCATGGTGTTCCTGATGTTTGTGCATGATGTTCATTCCTTGTAGGAGGTAAACAAGCTGCAGTTTGATGTCCTGCAGTCAGCAGGGTGTCCTTTGGCCCTTGGTAGATAGTGTGTTTTTATTTTTTCATTTTTCTGAAAAATATCTGGTTTTATGTTATTATGATGATCTGAAACACATGGTTGAACATAAGAATACATAATTTATGGATACTCAGTTGATAATTCATTGATTTTGTTTGGTGGAGGAAAGTTTGGTTTCAATTTGGAAACAGGAGACTAACTATTTGTTTATCTACATTTTTGTGTGGACAGCACAGTACTATTTTCAAATACATATCAAAGCATTTTGTTGTCCTACTTGTACAGCACACTCTGTCCACTTATTTGGGGCTGAGACACAACTCAGTTTAGACATGGTCCGGTTTAGTGAGGATAAATCATAACAGGAGACAAAGAAATGGGAAATAAAACTAGGTTTGAAAGAAATGATTCTTTTCACCAAAATATATCCCTTTTTCATAGATACGTATCTATATATTTCATAAAGTTATGGAACTAAAAAGTTAGCTGTAGCTGTAAAGTGAATGTTTACTAATTATTTTAGAATTTTAATAATTTTGAAACAGAGTAATTTCCATGGGAATATGAAATGCTATTTGTCTAACAACTTGTCTCCCATCAGTTAGTTATATTCAGTCCTTGTCTGAAGGCAAACCAGGAACAAGCTGAGTAGTGTATGTTCTGGACTGTATTAAAACAAAGTCTGAGTCCAGTTTGGACAGGTTCCACTATACACAGGGTAAATGAAGCCTATAGTTTGTTTACTTGTACATGCCCGATGTGCGTGATCCTGCTGTATTAGAAACTTTGCTTTTTGCCTATCCCTGTTCTGGTGCATTGATAATGGCTTGGTTATAATCAACCTCTGATAGTCAACTTTATATGTAAAAATGGTCCAGGGTTTTGTTGTACAAAACAACCTTAGCGCTAAGACTGCTTTGTACAACAGCACCCAAGGCTCTAGTGCAAACCTTTTGTCACTTGTTCCCAAAATTTGTAGCAAGTCAAAAATGTTTACTTGCTTAAATTTTGTGTCCGCTGTGATTGAAACATTGACAGCTGGTTCACGAGTATGGCTGCCAAAAGGTTCCAGTCACTGAGGACTACACTTGTGAGATTTAGCAGCAATATTCAGTATTCTTGGGCATGTGTTAAGACTGTGGGTGAAAAGTAGTATTTATGAATTTCATTTCCCCTGTTAGGCTGTTGCACCTTGTTCTGCATGGTCCACACAAATGCTTGTATTAGTGATTCCAATAGTTTAGACATTGTTGTACAAGTGAGGTCACACAAGATATATGGGGGCTTGCTCTTCTACTTGTTTTGAAGAATTGGCTATGGTTTTCATGTGTGTCTCATACAAAATATTTGACTGTTGTGTTTTTAGAGAAAAAAATTTAAACTGTGGAAATGTTAGTCTGACAAAATTATTTGCATATTTGGGCATTTAAAAAAAAAATGGTTGTTGTTTTTGGGTCCACAGTAGTGGTGGTCCGAGTAATTGAAATAATCGAAGATTGGTCGAAATGACTAAACAACCAAGCAATCGATCATGTTTTCTCATAATCGAACACAAACAATTCTGGAACACTTGTTTGCATTAACAATATTTTTCACAAGGTTGGTTTTGTCTGTTACATTTCATAAACATTACAAGCTCGTTCCAAGTCAGGATTGAATTTATCTTAACCAGAAAAATTTGATAAATGATGCTGACCAATTATTTTCGATGATTGATCGGTTGTAATGAACCAATCATCAAGTATGAGATTTTATCCAATTCCCAACACTAGTCCACAAATACACCATAACAATACTGACATCCCCAAGCATTTCAAATCAGGGATCTTTTCTTAATAATGTCTGAGCGCACTAGTCAAGTGATAAATAAGTAGAAAGACACAACAGTACAATAATTAGTGGTTGTGGGGATACAGTATATCTTCTTATATAATCGTTATTTTTGTTTTTTCTTTATTGATTGAAACTGTAGAATTTCTAATGTTTCCCACGCTTGGACATGTCTCTCCATGCGGGTGCCTGTTTCTGCGGGTCTGCTTGTGGTGGTTGGTGATTGGTCTGTCTGTGTGGTGCAGGATAGTGCTGTCGACCTGTCAGGGGATCTGTCGGGGGACCAGTCTGCAGGTGGCGGTGATGTAGAGGAGGGGGAGGGGCTGCTGTTGCTGCCCCCTCATGAACTCTTGTGGGACGATGAAGCACTGTTGCAGAGGTAAACCAAGGCCTGCTTATGAAGTGGTTCGGTGGGACCAAGGAATGATGTTTTTCTGTTTTATTTAAGCTTTTAGATTTTCTCATGTATATTCTGCTATTATTTTGAGATTTATTATTATTTTTCTTATTGTTTTGTTTAGCATCAAATCCATATTAAGAAAATATATTTATTATACCTGGGTAACTGTGAATGAAATTCAGTGCATGCAGATCCGTTACCCGAGGTGATAAGAAAGAAGGGCCATGCGCTACTGGTGAATAGAGCCTTTGTAAATGGATGTAATATTATATTACAGATGGAATTGATTGTATAAAATCCTTGATTGTTCTTTGTCATGGTTATCCGGGTTAGAATTGATCTTCAGCAACCCATGCATGTCGTTAGAGGCGACTAATGGGATCGGGTGGTCAGGCTCGCTGACTCGGTTGACACGTGTCATCGGTTCCCAATTGCGCAGATTGATGCTCATGCTGTTAATCACTGGATTGTCTGGCCCAGACTTGATTATTAACAGACTGCCGCCATACAGCTGGAATATTGCTCAGTGCGGCGTAAAACTAATCTCACTCACTTAAACAGTCGCACACAAAAATCATAACCTAAAGTCTAATTTGGCAGATAATGGCTTTATTTCATTTTGTTTCTTTTAAGAGTCATATTTTTGTGTTATTGTCCAATGGAAAACATTTCCTTGAAAATATGTTGAAATTGCATAATAAACCAATTAAAATGAAAATCATTTGACAGATTTGTCTTTTTCAAATTATTGGGGGATAGGTTCACCCCACTAACTTAGTGTTAGGTTTTGTGGAGGAACTGGTCGCCCCTATTCCATGCTGTTTACATGTATGATGTATGTAACACCATAGGCTTGTTGTATGAGCTGGTGAGGTTTGTATTGATGGAGTATGTACAGATGACAGGATCTCTGTGTGTGACAGTCATAGTCTGACTGCCATGTTGGTGTGTTCCAGAGTCTGCCAGGAGAATGGTCTCCTCATGTCTACACTGGAAGCCAGGTCAGAGGAACTACGCAGAGCTAACTGTCAAAAGATGGGTATGTTGAAGTTCGAACCTGAATTGACCTGAGTATTGAATTAGTTAATATGCCTGGTGTTGGGACTAGGAGTCCTACATGTCCGTTAGGTTCCAACTCGTTCCACAAGTGTGGTGACACGTGTGACCTGCATCTCTTCATACTTTCTTCTAACATTTAGCGTTCATGCTCTCAAATGAACACAGATTCCCATTTTTTTGTTTTTGTTTGTCATCACCTGACTGAAACTTTCGGGTTCACCAACATGTCTGATCTCTTCCTCCCTCCCAGATCATGCTGTGATGTAACTGATATACTGTTCAAAACAGTGTTAAACTGAGTCAGGTACACCTACAGAATACCGGATACCTACCAGCCATATTGTTTAGTGTCACGTCACCCTAACCCTAACGCTAAACCTTACCCTAACCCTAACCCTAACCTTAACCTTAACCCTAACCCTAACCCTAACCCTACCCTTACCCTAACCTAAACCTAAACCCTTACCTAACCCTAACCCTAACCCTTAACCTTAACCTTAACCCTAACCCCAACCCCCAACCCCAACCCCAACCCCAACCCTTACCCCAAACCTTAACCTTAACCTTAACCTTAAACTTAACCTTAACCTAAGTAAACTTGCATGCTTTCAAGGATGGCATAAGGTATCCGGTATTCTGTAGTCTTACCCTGAGTGATATGTTAGCATGGGGATGCACTGGATAGTATTTAAATTATGATGTACCTTGTCATGATTGTATGAGCTTTAGGACTCATCTGTGCGGTATTCTTCAGCTCTGGCTCGGGAGAGAGACGAGTTGCTGGCCTTGCTGGATGTGAAAGAGAAGCTGAAGTACGAGAGAACGAGAAGCACCGCCTCAGACGAGGACTACGGCACATACTCATCAGCAGAGGTGGGCTCAGTTTAACCTTGACCAGCAATAGACATATATAGTTCACCACCACCACAGGGGATTGTGGGTTAGAATAATCAATGAATTGTAAGAGGTGGTTTGAAGGATCCGGATTTGTGACTGTGACTGTGACTGTGTGTCAGCATACATCGTGTGCATTGTTGCTCACACTGTCCATCACTGTTTGTAAATAATTGAGTCTGAACTCGTCAATCCAGTGATCAACAGCATGACCCACATTCTTTGCAATGGTGATACAATGACATGTGTCAACCAAGTCAGTGAGCCTGACCACCTGATCCTGTTAGTCACCTCTTACGACAAGCATGGGTTACTGAAGACAATTCTAACTGGGATCTTCATGGATGGACTCTGACAGGTTGTTGACATATATCTTGATTAGTGCTCAGTGCAGCAGTGAACAATGCACACACAGAAAAGACAGTGAAAGGTTAGAGTTTGTCTTCAGCAACCACAACTTGTGTTCCGAGTTGACCAGTGAGATTGTGTGGGTAGATCTATATTCATGATGTCAAGAGCTGGACTGTATAGATAGTTGTCATATAGCTGGAATATTGCTGAGAGCTTCTTTAAATAATGAAAATGTTACAGATATGTTGTGCTTGCAATGAAACACCAATACAGATTTCATTCTAGGCCCTACCCGTGAAGATCCGGGTTAGAATTGATCGTCAGTAACCCATGCTTGTCGTAAGAGGCGACAAACGGGATCGGGTGGTCAGGCTCGCTGACTTGTTTGCCAAATGTCATCGGTTCCCAATTACGCAGATCTAGACCCAATTGCGTAAAACTAAACTCACTCACTCATTCTAGGCCCCATCATTCAAGCATTTAGATTTTTCTAAAGATACTGCCACTGAAGAAATAATTTGCAAGGTTGATTTCTGTCCAAATGATTGATAAAGTGTATTTAACAATCATCACTGTCAGGAATTTGAACTGCTACAATGTGCCTGCCAAACTGATTATCTAATTGAAATATGAATGGTTTTGTTACCTGAAAACCTTCCTAGAACACTGCATCAAGGTCACAGTGCCATTCTTACTACAATGTATTCTCCCTCCCCCAGCTGGCAGTGTTGGGGGCGTGTCAGTGCCGGGGGACCAAGACAGAGCCATGTGGGTGTGCCCACGCTGCAGCCAACCTCCGCAGGGACACTCTCAGGCTCAGGGAGGAGGTAACTTGATAGACATGCTTCTTCATGTCAGCTGTTGATGTTTGCGTCGGTGTCATTGTGAGGACAAGGTCATCTGAGGTCAAGGTCAGGGAAGGGTTAACATGGGTACTGGGGTCAAGGGGGAAGCTTGTAAGACCTCATTGTCTTGTATTATTGCATTAAATGTGACAAGAACATGCAATGTTAAAACTTTTATAAAATTTGTATGTTTGGACCAAGACAACCAGTTTTGCTTCCAAGGGCATTAGGAGCGGTAGGTTAGCCTAGTGATGAAAGCATTTGCACATGGCTCTGGGTACAATAAGTGAAGTGCATTTCTCATGTCCCCGCCATGATATTTCTGCAATACTGCTGAAAGTGGCGTAAAACAATTAAGAATAAGAGCATTAAGAATCTAGATTCTCTGCCTTTCCCAATTTGATTTCAAAGGGCAGCCAAATCCAAGATAAATCCCTGTATTTAAATATTAACAAGTGCAAGTATATTTGATACATACAAATATTTGAGCTTTGCTCGAGTGTGTGTGGTGCTGCTGCAGATTGAGCTGTACAAGCATCGGAGGGATGAAGCTTATCTCACCGTGGATGCATACAGGAAGGCCTTTGAGGAACAGCTCAACAGGAACAAGTTCCTCACCCTCAAACTGTCTGAACTCACCATACCTGCCTCCTCAAAACCTGTCAAGGCAAAGGCGGCTATCAAGTGGCTTATCAGCGTTCTCAATGATGGTAATATATCTCCGTTCTCAGAGACTGTGGCTGGAATAAGTCCAGACTCTCGTGGCTGGTTACCACCTCAGTCGAGAACCCGTGAAGATCCGGGTTAGAGTTGATCTTCAGTAACTCATGCTTGTCGTAAGAGGCGACTAACGGGATCGGGTGGTCAGGCTCGCTGACTTGGTTGACACATGTCATCGGTTCCCAATTGTGTAGATTGATGCTCATGCTGTTGATCAATGGATTGTCTGGTCCAGACTCGATTATTTACAGACCGGCGCCATATAGCTGGAATGTTGCTGAGTGTGGCGTGAAACTAAACTCACTCACTCACCTCATTCGTGAAGTGGACAGAGTGTCAAGGTCTCGATCCTTTGCACTTCAGGGTGGTGGGGTAGCTTACTGGTTAAAGCGTTAGCTTGTCACGCCGAAGACCCAGATTCGATTCCCCATATGGATACAATGTGTGAAGCCCATTTCTGGTGTCCCCAGCTGTGATATTGCTGGAATATTGCTTAAAGCGGCTTAAAACTATACTCACTCACTCACTTGGCATATCATATTTAAAGACTTTTCATATCAAATGAAAAGAAGCTACTTGTAGTTACGAGGACCAGCCAGTGTTAAGAGGACCTGTGATTGGGGTTACAGCGTGTCGAGATGGTTTTGTTCATGATGTCAACCACTGGTTTGTAGAGCCCTGACTCTATATCTATATGCTGACTTGAATATCTATATATCTGCTGTGGAATATTGCCAACTGCTACAGACTAAAGCATCCACCCTCACTTGTCTTAGAATATCTGTGGTAAGATGAACAGTGGAAGCATGAACACTTGCTGTATCAAGTCTGATGTGCTTCCTTGCACTACAGGGGCGGTGGGGTAGCCTAATGGTTAAAGCGTTGGCTCGTCACGCCGAAGACCGGTTCAATCCCCAGATGGGAACAATCCTGTTTCTGGTGTCCCCCGCCCTGATGTTGCTGGAATATTGCTAAAAGCGGCGTAAAACTAAACTCAGTCAGTCAGTCAGTCAGTCAGTCAGTCCTTGCACTACATCAGTGTCTTCAGATGGTTTCATTTTAAATTTGAGCTTTTGCAGTAGTTTCAATTTGTTGTTATTAATGTGACTATTGAATATGTGTTCCCCAAGCTCTGCTGATTTATGTTTTCTCAGTCAGTGGTTGTAGTTTCCATGGAAAAGATGTTAGCTGCATCGTCATCCCGTTTGTATGGAAATGAACTGATATTAGAATCTGACGTCAGTCTTTTACTAGGAATAAGCTAAAAAAGTGAATTATATTTCTTGACATGGAACTGTTGCATATGCCTGTTTGTGATTCAGATGACCTTCACATGTCCATCCCACACCATGGCCTGCCCAACGGCCCCCTGTCCGGCATCAACACAACACTGATGACCCCCCAGGAACTCATCACACTGCTGTCTGAAATGGTAAGTCTCTGTGACGTGACGGCAGGGAATAGTGCTGACTCAGCAGACTGCTGTCTGAAATGGTAAGTCTCTGTGACGTGACAGCAGGGAATAGTGCTGACTCAGCAGACTGCTGTCTGAAATGGTAAGTCTCTGTGACGTGACAGCAGGGAATAGTGCTGACTCAGCAGACTGCTGTGTGAAATGGTAAGTCTCTGTGACGTGACGGCAGGGAATAGTGCTGACTCAGCAGACTGCTGTGTGAAATGGTAAGTCTCTGTTACGACAGCAGGGAATAGTGCTGACTCAGCAGACTGCTGTGTGAAATGGTAAGTCTCTGTTACGCGGACGGCAGGGAATAGTGCTGACTCAGCAGACTGCTGTGTGAAATGGTAAGTCTCTGTTACGGACGGCAGGGAATAGTGCTGACTCAGCAGACTGCTGTCTGAAATGGTAAGTCTCTGTGACGCGACGGCAGGAATAGTGCTGACTCAGCAGACTGCTGTGTGAAATGGTAAGTCTCTGTGACGGACGGCAGGGAATAGTGCTGACTCAGCAGACTGCTGTGTGAAATGGTAAGTCTCTGTGACGGACGCAGGAATAGTGCTGACTCCAGCAGACTGCTGTCTGAAATGGTAAGTCTCTGTTACGTGACGGCAGGGAATAGTGCTGACTCAGCAGACTGCTGTCTGAAATGGTAAGTCTCTGTGACGTGACGGCAGGGAATAGTGCTGACTCAGCAGACTGCTGTGTGAAATGGTAGTCTCTGTGACGCTGTGACTCTGTGCAGGGAATAGTGCTGACTCAGCAGACTTCTGTGTGAAATGGTAAGTCTCTGTGACGTGACAGCAGGGAATAGTGCTGACTCAGCAGACTGCTGTGTGAAATGGTAAGTCTCTGTGACGTGACGGCAGGGAATAGTGCTGACTCAGCAGACTGCTGTGTGAAATGGTAAGTCTCTGTGACGTGACGGCAGGGAATAGTGCTGACTCAGCAGACTGCTGTGTGAAATGGTAAGTCTCTGTGACGTGACGGCAGGGAATAGTGCTGACTCAGCAGACTGCTGTCTGAAATGGTAAGTCTCTGTGACGTGACAGCAGGGAATAGTGCTGACTCAGCAGACTGGGTTGATATTACTGTAAAATCACCTACAAGGGTGGTATTGCTGTACCATGGAAGACTTGGTAATATTGCTGCTATCAACAACATGTGATCTTGCTAAACTGTAGCTGACTCTTGAGCTATTTGTTTCATTTCGGCCATTAAAGAAGGTAATGGGAAGAGGGTTTAGGATATAAACCTGACAATGATGTCCATATTGTCCTTATTGTCCTTATTGTCCTTATTGTCCTTATTGTCCTTATTGTCCATATTGTCCATATTGTCCCTGCAGGTCCATGAGAAATGTGAGGCACTGGCTCACCAGAAACTGGCAGCCCAGGTCTTGGCCAACAAGGTGGAATCCCTCGAGAAACAGATGCGTGCCCTCAAGGAGGAGGATGTCTTCACGTGAAGTCAGACAGCCAGGTGTCGGCCAACATAGAGGAGGATGGCTTCACGTGAAGTCACACTTCCAGGGGTTGGCCTACACGGAGGACTATGTCTTCACGTGAAATCAAACAGCACAGATAAACCTTCTCATCATATTTTGATCTCTCTTCATGTTGAAATCCGGAAATCCATCCAGAACATACAACAGTTTATTGACATGATCTAGTGTTTTCCAGGTGGCACTCAGGTGCAACACATCTACTTAATCTGATCATTGGTCTATTGATAAGTATTGATATCTTTATAACTTGGAGAACATTCTTGTTTCATAGCAACACATATTTTTATACACACAACTAAATTTATGCAGTTTTAAGGATGTATTTCTTTGATATGTAAAGTTTTTGAGATTACAATTACAGAATTTGCTTGCTTGTAACCACAGCTCAATGAAAGTGTTTTGAAGATTGTTTATCAGATATTTAGTGCTGTCTTGTGATAGAGATTTACCTCTCACATATTTGTTTATTGTTATGTGCCTTCAAAATAGGATTCTGACTGGGTTCTGTCTTTTGTTTAAAGTTTGATGTACTCAATTGTTGACATATCAGACATAAAACCAGTTTATGTTGTCACGTACCCAGTCACATGTGACATTCAGTGTCACACAAATCACATTGTCAGAAATGTTCTTTGAAAAACAAAATAGTTTTCAGTCCAAAGCATGTGACATGTAGGCCAGTGACAAATATGTATTGAAAGTGGTAATAGTTCATTTCTAATATCTACAGTTTGTCTGACTTAACTGTTACCTTTTGGACCTGCAAGTTGTCAGAAATTCTTATGGAATTATTTTTAGATAATTCTAGCATTAAAAACAAAGCTACACATTCTGAATCCTTTACTCACAAATGCTTGCATACTTTGATCATACATGAAAAAATTGTCCCAAGTAGATGCATCTAGAAAAATGTTTTCATGTTTGATGATTCTTTGATGTGTAGATGTGGCCATTTATCTACTTATGTGTTTTTGACAGTGCTGAATCCATGTAAGACCGATGTTTTGAATTTATTGTTTAAGTAAAATGTCCATATAATTGGCCCACACAATCTGTTTTGGGGTTTGTCGGCCACCGTACCCGTGGGTTTGTCGGCCACCGTACCCCTGGGTTTGTCGGCCACCGTACCCCTGGGTTTGTCGGCCACCGTACCCCTGGGTTTCACCAGAAGAATAACGCCTCACATCACTTCTGACTTTCTTCCACATTAAGCTGACTTAATGACTTGTAACATTAAGAAAAAGAACTGGTCTGAATAATTTCAAAGAAACGTTTGTGTTTCTGTTTTGTTATGTTTTTAATGTCAAATGTATATCTAGGGCTCAGCGGTAAGTGTTACTGGGTTGTTATCCTCACCATACATGTGGCCCCATGTTTGAAGCTGTCTTGTCAGTGAATAATGTGATGACATGATGTAGTTAGATGACATGCAGATTGCAGATCATATCTGGTCGGGTCATGTGAAGTTTGGTCAGATCATGGGTCAGGTCAGATCATATGGGGTCGGGTCATGTCAGGTCAGGCCATGTAGGGTTGGGTCAGGTCATGTAGGGTTGGGTCAGGTCAGATCATATCTGGTCGGGTCGGGTCATGTGAAGCTTGGTCAGGTCAGGTCATGTGGGGTCAGGTCAGGTCATTTTGGGGTCAGGGTCAGGTCAGGTGGGGTCAGGGTCAGGTCATGTGGAGGTCAGGTCAAGTCAGGTGGGGTCGGGTCAAGTCAGGTGGGGTCGGGTCAGGGTCATGTGGGGGTCAGGTCAGGTCAGGTCCAGGTCATGGGTCGGGTCAGGTCATGTGATGTCGGGTCAGGTCATGTGGGGTCGGGTCATGGCCAGGTCATGTGGGGTTGGGTCGGGTCATGTGGGGTCGGGTCGGGTCATGTGGGGTCGGGTCAGGTCATGTGGGGTCGGGTCATGTCAGGTCAGTCATCTCAAGTGTCAGGGATTGAAGTGCTTGTGTCATGGAGGTGACAGCTGTGGCCATGACTGGAGAAACAGTCCTCTTGATTGCTGTAGTATTTATACAGATTAGTACGATCAATGCATGTATTATACCAATATTGTACATAGGAAGTTCAAAACTGTTTCTTTGTTTTGTATATTTTCTGTTTAAAGAAATGTTCAGCTGAACAGGAATAATTTGAGTTTGGCCAAAACAAAAATATCTGTTTCCTGATTGACCTCAATATGGAGCTCTCAGCCCTCGCCTCCATTTTTTCATGTTCTCATATTGCACCACAGCTTTTATCACCATTTTGTTATTGTTCATATTTGCATGTCACTAGAATGAAAGTAAAAAGAATATTTGAAAAAAAACAAGTGTTCCCTATTTGGGCCTAAGCTGAATTAGGAAACACATATATATTTCAGCTCTAACTACGTACAGTAACTTTGATCGCTAAGTTGCCCTGCACTTTAGCCCTATCACTGACATATTGAGCACTCATTCATGTTTTGTCAGCTGTGACTTGTTCTATGTTGTCAATGTTTTGTTTTACTTAGATAGGTTCCATTACCTACTTTAGTGTTTATGATTGTCTCAAGCTTAGGAAATCCTTTTGTGTTTGTGTTGGAATTGATCTTCTTAGCATGCATGGAATCGGTCACAATTTTGTTAAGGTGAGTGTTTCGGAGGGTTGATTTGTGTGTTTCTAGGTTTTATTTAACCTTTGACGTTTGAAAAATAGTCTGTACATATATTCTTGTGGTAACCATGGCAACCAAAGAAGGGCCATTAAACAAACTGAAAGTAGAAATACAACCTGATAACCTCTAACAATTTGGGCTGGTGTCAGGGGAGGCAACCCTCTTTTATGGTTGAAGTGACAATAAACCTTGGGTCTCAGCAGGTAGTATCCTTATTTTGCTGTGCTCATTTTTGTGAATATTTGATATTTTGTGAGGTGTGTTTGGTGGTTTGAGTGAGTTTTGTTTTTTCCTTATATTGGTATATATAATTCTCGAAATCCTAACATTGATATGTATTTTCAGTTTATTTAATTCTTAATGCTCTTTTCTATTTCTCATTTTTCGTTTTTCATGAATATCACACTGGATGCCTCGAATTGCAAGTTAGTGCTTGATTTGAAGCTGAGAATCTCAGTATGTTCATATTGTGGACCAAATATGTTTGAGAATCATGATGTATTCTTAGAAATGATGATACATGAATATGTATACAGATGATGATATATGTGTATGGATGACGATATATCTGTATGGATGTTGATACATACTCCATAAGCACCTCTCTATTGACAATTTGTTTATATTTATTGGAGATCCCAGTGCTATGTTGAATGGTGCTGGGTCTCCGTATTCATTTACTTCTCATGTTAATTTGTTGCTATTTGTGATTTACCCAGTTTGTACAAATGAGAAGAAAACATATCACAGTTGCATAGACCAGCATAGATCACTGGGGCCTTATTCTAACTCAGTATCCCCAATAGGGAATTAGGAATAAAAGTCAAGGGGCTCTTGCCCCTATGTTAAACATGTAGAATCCCAGGCTTTCCGTTATTTGAATGTTAAGATTACACTTTCAAAGCCATCAAGAAATTGATTGCAGAACGAATAAGAAAATTTGAAGAACATGAGTCAGGATAAGTATAAAATATCAATTTTACTCAAAAAATTACATTTTTGTGGTATTGCCAAAATATTAACATTTCTCCTTTGCGAAATTATTAAATTGTTGGTCTGCATTGGAAGTGATTAACATCTACCGTATTCACCATAAAAAACACCTTTGACCAACTTAGAGACCAGTCTGTGACTAAAGTTGACAAGCACCCCCTAGTAACAGATGAAAGTATTTACTTTGATTATTTACTCACATTATTTTTTTATCAGAAAACAGTAACACAGAAGGCGTAGATAATTCACGAGTAGCTATATTTACACTTATCAGAGGAGTACACAATTAGGTGATCTAGACTACCAGTTGTCCAACTTCCATTTGTGTGGAAGCTGTTCGCGACCTCTCTCCCTCTGAAAACAAATTTAACTTGTGTACGGTTTTAATGAGGACTCCTTTGCCAGTTTTGTCAAGTTGTCTTTTACAGTTTAATGCAGTATCTATGGTAACATTTAGTTTTTCATCGAAGACATATCACTATATAGAGCAGAGAAAGCTCACCAAGACTTTACTCTGGGCACAGCTTTACCACATTAGAAGCATGGATATCTTCGTTGTACACTTTTATCTTAATGTGTGCCTGAAATGAATGACAGACTAGTTTGTTGTGAGATTTGGTGTAGCCATGAAACGTAAATTCAAACCTGTCATGGGATATAACTAAACTGCAAGTGATTCCACTGCATTTGATTGTCTAGCCATGCAATGTGCTTCGCCTTTGTTATCACCAACTGAAAGGAATAGACCCTGCTCAATGGCAGATTACTGTTCCTTGATTTGTAATGTGCTGGGTAGGGCTTTATTGTGGCATTTGGAAGCCTTCAGTTCTTAAAAAATATGGAAGTTATTATGATTGACATGTTTATTCTCTTTATAAAAAGTTACTTCCCAGATATTTTTGTACTTCTGGAGTAAAAAACCTAAAAAATGGTGTGCATACTTTTGACATGGATTTTTAGAGTATGCACAGTGATTTTACCTTCATACCTCAAAAACACAAGTCACTTCTTAAATATTGTGTGGAACATTGAAACTGAATAGTTCAAGTCCATCATCAAACTTTCCACTATCAAACTATAACACTACACATTTGTAGTGATTCAAGGAGGTTCGAGTCCTGTGTGTTCAGTAGCGTGCAAGTTTAGTTGTTTTCACAGCCATGTACAAGCTGCTTTGTTCATCATTTCATCTTGCAAATGATTATTTTCTTTTGATATACAATAAAAGGGACCCTAATAATTTAGTTCATTTTCCTTAAGCTGGGATACCCATACGTGCTGAAAGTGATTCAAGGAGGTTAGGTTCGAGTCATTTCATCAGGTAAATGACTTTTTTCTCTTAATATACAATAGAAACGACCCCGAGAATTGGTTCATTTTCCTTTAGCTGAAGATACCCATACGTGCTGAAAGGGTGTAGATTTGTTTGGCATCTGGATGTTTTAGTTTCAGTGCCTGTATGAGAAACTAAACAAATATGCAGCAATAAGTGCCAAGTGTCCATAGTCAGATTTTGTGATGCTACTCTGTGTATACACCATGTTTACACCCTCACTCATTCTACATGTGGTGGCTCTCACAGTAACTATGCAGAAAATGTACAAATTATACAGATATGAATATGTGATAAATAGGAAATCAGCGATTTTCGCCATATTTCCAAAGTTTTTAGACATTATATACAATATGTAGTTGGCATGCTTTACAACAGGTTTCGTTAAATACAGGTGGTTGCTATGGAAACAAATTATATATTTCGTATATATTCTCAGCAGTAAATGTAGCCAACCCAAAACAGGTATTTTCTGAATACATGTCTACTGTTCAACTGAGTGTCTAAGTATCTCTTCATGTGTTATTACTCACTGAGCCAAATTTTGATGTTTTTTTTCCAAAATGTATTTTTTCAGAAATCATGCTTTATAATGGAAATGGGTTTTTTGCATCAGAAACAGATCTATTCAATTATGTGTTAGTGTTTAGGATATTTGGGTGAATTGGATGATTTCTGTTTAGGTATCCTGTTGCCAGGTTACATTGTGTCCATTGTAACTATAGCAACCATTAGTATTTAATAACTTCCATTTTATTAGATGCCATTTGATGCTCTGATCATGCAGGTTTGGTAAATAATGGAAATGGTTGTAAGGAAGACGTTCCGTCCATGTCATTGCGTGCTGTGTTTTACACTGTAGTTAGTTGTGTTGAGATGTACTATATACATGCACACTAAGCTGTG